TGTGGCATCAGGATTGGTGGAAGATCTATTAACAGTCTGCATTATGCAGATGACACAACACTGCTTGCTGAAACTGAGGAGGACCTGAAGTGCTTGCTGCAGAGGGTCAAGGACTGCAGCCTTCAGTATGGATTGAGGCCCAATGTCAAGAAGACAAAGATTCTCACCACTGGACAGCATCAGGATGGATGGTGAAGAGATTGAGATTGTTCACAGCTTTAGTTTGCTTGGCTCCACAGCCAACACTCTTGGCACCAGTACCCAGGAAATAAAAAAATTAAAAAAAACCGTATTGGCATGGGGGTCTGCTGTTAGGGACCTCTCCAAAGTACTGAAGAGCAACGGTGTCTCTCTGGAGACTAAGGTGCATCTGATACAGGCTATGGTCTTTGCAATCACTTGTTATGCATCAGAGTTGGACAATGACTAGAGAGGATAGAAGGAGAATTGATACCTTTGAGTTGTGGTGCTGGAGAAGAGTATTTAATGTACCATGGACTGCCAAGGAAACAAACCGATTCATCCTAGAGAGGGTTAAACCAGGCTGCTCCTCGGAGACAAGGATTCTGGGGCTTCATCTGACATACTTTGGACATGTTGTAAGGAGGGACAAGTCCTTGGAGAGGGACATCATGCTTGGGAGGGTCAAGGCACAGCACAAGAGGGGAAGACCCTCTATGAAGTGGATTGATTCAGTGACTGGGGTAATCGGGATGGGTGTGTCAGAGGCAGTGCGATCGGCACAGGATAGAGCAGGGTTTATGGATGTTGTACACAGAGTCACTATGGGTCGCAAGTGACTCGATGGCACACAACAACAACAATAACAACAACATCTTTGTGTTGGCAGCACAACTTCTTACAACTAGGCCACCAGATCTTCTTTGATGAGATAATATTGCTATGTTATTTTTATCTAAATTTGCATAGTTCACATCAGGATTCCTCCTGTGTTAAACAATTCTATGGGTTTTAACAGATATATTAATGCTACACACCCATCATTATAGTATCGTTGTTGTTGATTGTTGTTAAGTCGAGCATGACTCATAGCGACCCTATGAACAAAAGGTCTTAAGCCTTTCTATACCTATTGTCATTTATCAAAGTTCATAGAGTTTCCAGAGGCATGTTGTTTAGGAAGTTGATGCTGCTCCTGCTTCCAATATAGTATCATAGAAAGCAGTTTATGTAGATCACATATCCTTTGGAATGAGCCACAAACATCTCCGTCACTCATTAAGACAGAGAAGCAGAACAAGATGCCTATACTTGGAATACTTTGTAGAACACAATAAAACAATAGGCTTTCAATACAATCAGTTTACCAGTTGGAACCACTTTAAGCCAACTTTTAATTTATGTACCTCCTAATGTTTCAAACACATCCTTTCTCTTTCATCTGATTCAGAACGTATGTGGGTTGATTATCTAATTCCCTCTGCCTTTAACCTTTAAGCCATTGGCATCTGTACTTTATGCTATTACTGGCATCTCACACTTCTACATCATTCTGTGGAGAAAATGAGTGTGCACCTGTGGAAAATACTCAGTGGGAAAATAGAAAACCACAACTGTGGGTAGAAACATGTGACTCTCCTTTTGAGATACTTTGATTTATCTCAGGCAAACCAAGTAGCCTATTTTATACCCCAAGCACCACATCACCCCACCCCACCCCACCCCACTCAACCCTACCCCACACTCTACCATACACATTTGAAGAGATGAAATGCATCATAGAATTTTAATTGTCAGTTGAAAGACAATCTTTCTCTCATGTTTGAGTAAAAACTGAGGTATGGAATAGTGAGGACTGTGTTCGCTTCCACTGATTTTCAAACCACCTCATTATATCCATGGACCATCTTGTTTTGAAAGATTATAAAGTTTCTCAACCTAAGTGCCCATCAACAAACGAATGGCTAGAGAAGCTGTGGTATATTCGCACAATGGAATACTATGCTGCATTAAAAAACAAGGAAC